ATGTTGTTAGTACTTTTAGTTGGAGTTGTATAATCTATCAGGATTTGTCTGGTCTACGTGTGTAGTTCCGTGATTAGAGACTTATATCTGTTGTTTAATTAATGAGGTTTATTCAGTTATCTGTCTTTTGCAATTTACATACATGCAATGTTTTATTAATTGATTAATAAGCAGGTTGGTAATGATAATGACATCATAATTTAAAAGAAAAAGATATTTCGCATTTTTAATTAAGCGCAGCTTAATACGATGATATGATAACATTACCGGATATATACGGGGTGTTACAGAAACTATGTTGCTGGGTTGCACTTAGGGGTGCTAAACAAACCAGGGGCCTTTGGCTCGACTCGTAAAGGCCTGAGCTTACATGTCTAAAATTGGTTGTTTGCACCAGGTTTGAACTTGTATAAAAGCTCGTTTAATAAAAAGGCCTCAGGCTCCAATTCAAAAGTTCGGCCTTAGAGCCTTTTAGGCTGGCCTAGTATGTTATTTTATATATATACATATATATATATATATATATATATATATATATATTATACTACTTGTAATAATCCTCTCTTTTTTCTCAATCTATTTCACCTCATTTTATTGGTTAAACATATTTTTTGAATAATTTTTTTCCTATATTACGTTGCTTAGATATACATTGAATTTATGAAATTACTAGTGTTATTGATTGTATAAATTTTTGTTGTTTTATATTTTTTAAACAGGTTAAACCAGGCTTTTATTTTTTGTAAATAAGCTAGGTCACAGGCCGATAATTATATTTATAACAGGTAACAAGTTTGGTCAGGCTGACACATTTAAACACATGCTTAGCCTTTTAAGACCAAAGTTCGGCTCGGCTCGGCCCGTTAACACCCCTACTTGCACTAGTATAGCATTTGACACACTTCAAACATTCTTTGAAGAAATAGAAGATGGTTTTATGAGGGTCAAAGTAGTATCATCCTCATCCAACTCATCACTCCCATCATCATAGTAAGAATATCTATCAAGAACAAACATAAATTAAAGAACAGCAACAACAATGCGAAACAAATTTTATATATACAAGAAGAATATAAGGGGAAGCTCATCTTGCTCTTGCAGAAATTAAAGATAGAAAATAAAAGAACCTTAAGATAAAGGAAAAAATTTTACCGTGTTGAATTTTGAGATGGTGCCTAAAGAGCACAGATAACACACAGGAGAGAAAAAGAGAGAACTTCCCAAAAGGCTGAGATGATCCACACATTATGTCATTGCTCGTTGTATACTTTTGTTTCCTTGTTACAGCTTGTAGATCTTTTCAAAGAAGGCTAAAGTCAAATATTTTGTCATTTAAAAGTTAAGACATTTTATTATATCATCTCATTCATTCATGATATTAGATTATGGAGAAAATACTTATAGAAGAAAAGCAGATAAAAAAGAATGCCATACCTTCATCTGAGGAAGTACAAAAGCATATATCCCAGTGATTCCAAATCAGTTTTGTTCTACAACAAAGCTGCAAAAAAAAACCAAAAATATTAAATGTTCATCTAATAGAACAACAATTTGAGAAGATGAAGAAGATAGACAGACAGATAAGAGAAGAAATATATGCACAAAAGCTAATTGTTGCGTATAATCGGCAAGTGCATCGATCGTACCAAGTAATAAAAAGTGAGTAAGAATATCGTCCCACGAGGATTGAGGCACCAAATTTAATTTAACTTATTCCTTTCTTATTGGATGAGCAAAAGTTGGTTTGAAGTAATTGTGTTTGTAACAATTGTGAACTATTCAATATTTCGTGAACAATTCAGAGAGAAATTTGAAGAATTTAAAATAAAAGGTTTTTGAGAAAAATATTAAAATAAACTATTGCAGTAAAGGACGCCAACACCTTTCCGATCCCCACCTGTTAATCTTGATTAATATTTATATTTAATTACCCAATTGATCAAACAATTCACCATCTATAATTATTTAGTTAAGCCTTAATTCCTTAGTGATCTTAACTTTATTAACCCTATTAGAGTCCTAATCCCTTAGAAATTCTTTTTCAAGTTAATCTTTTAGCCCAGTGAATTTTTCACGCTTGCAGTTCATGTAGCCTATCCCTAGTGCATACATGAACAGTTATTTTACCCTTTGTCAGGAATTAGAATCCCAATATTCCTATTGAAAACTCTAACCCTCACAATCCTAATAAAGTGGCCAATTCTAAAAGAATTATGGATGAAGAACAGAGTAAAATAAATTCAATTGAAATAATTAACTATAGACTTAACCAAAATACAAGGGGTTCACATCAAGGGTTGTGACCCTTACCATAATATAAAAAGACTAGCCAGAGATATTCATGTCTGACAAATTAAAGTATTGAAAAGAATGCATAAAACAAATAATAACCGGGAAATTGGGAGAAGAAGAAAGCTTCAATCTTCGCTTCAAACGCTTGCTTCGATCTCTCCCTTTGTGTTCTTCTCTGTGTAAAAGTGTGTTTTTCCTTAGGTCTCTGACTCTTTTTATAACTCCAGACTAAATCAGGTCACAATCTCTTCAAAAGATTTGATTTTAATTTTAATTTCGTCAAAATCTGCACACTGAAAACGCAGGGCCCATTGCCGCGCGATTAGCGCCAGATCCACGCTAATCGCGTGGTGATGCAGAAAAAAACCTTCCTTCCTGGCGCGGTTAGCGTGGCACCGCGCCATCAGCGCAGATCACAATTGATTTTTCCTTTTCTTCCTGGATTGTGGCGCGATTAGCGTGGTTTTCATGCTATTACCGCGAGTCACTTGTCTGAAACCTGACTTACTTTCGTGCTTTTCTCCTGTGGAAACATATAAATAGCGTGAAAGTTTGTCTGAAGGAAAATTATCAAGGATTCGTTAGAAATACAGCTTTTTATCAATGAATTAATGTTAAATCCTTGTTCTTTTTGCTATGAAAAACCTATATGCTGAAGGCATATCAAACAATTCTCAGATTTAGATATTGTTGTCCCCAGCAATAAATAAAATCAAACATCAAGCAGTAATGAAAACTCTGTAAGAAGAGTTTATGTCCTTAATGACATTTTTCTATATGGAAAAAATTCAGAGTTATAATGTTGTGCATGAATGAATTCCAGATGAAATTTTTCAAAAATCACCTTGTGCATAGGGAATTTAGAGTCTAGCTTAATCACTTCTAACCAAGATAATTACTGCACTTTTCACTCTTGTGTATAAGGTTCACTCTCAGCCCATCAGTGCAATAAGACTACCATAGGCTTGATCCAATTCTCGGGTTCCTAAAGATGAGGAACTCATAAACATGCACGATTAGATCCAAAGGTCTTTGCAGGTTGTAACTTGGCTTAAGCTAGGGTAGAAATATTTGGGAAGTGGCTAATCTTTGACTGCATATGAGATTGAAACACAACAACGTTTTTGTTGTTCATATTCAGATGCAATTTCACTTAGTTCCTTCCTTTCTATTCATACTTTTCTTTTTCCTTCTTGACCTTTTATTCTTTGTTGTTGCTTTGCAACTTTTTCTTTTTTGTTTCTTTTTCTTTGGTTCAAGCTTTTGCTTTCACTATCACTTTATTTCTGTGAAATTGATCTTTGAATTTCTCTAATCAATGCTTCAATCTCATCAAGGGTGTTTTGATAGGAAAAGTAAGCTAAGATTCTAGAGGTTAAATTCAACAAGAAACAACAGGCTAAGGCTCAAAGGGGCTAGCAATGGAATAATAATTGTCGGTTCAGCTATTTGGCCCATGAGTTATCAAGAAAAAAAAAAATTTGCCTTTATCATTTCAGATCATGCATGTGTTATTGAGAAAAAGATCAAGTTCTAAAGTGTTATTACTGTGAGGTCTCTCTAAAAAATCACTGTATAGGCTCAAACGTCACGGTTGTGCAATCAAACTAGAATTTAAATCCCATACCAACTATCTGTATCAACAAGAATTCAATCAATTGAGCAATTATAACTCTTAAGACTTCAACACAGACTTTCATTGTGACTTCTCACATAGTGTCTTATATGCTCCTTAAAGTTTGATTTTCTTATTATTGCATGAGTAGCAAATGCAAATTCAGGCATGTTATTCAGAGAGCGCATGTTATTCAAAGAGCTTCTTCTTCTATCACACAAAACGAAAAAAACAGCAATTTAAGACAAAAGGGTTCAGATATCTCCCCTGATGATTCAGAAAACTTTCTGTTAGAGGTGTTTTAGTCCGGTTTTTTTATAAAATGAAAAAATATGTGCACTGAAGCTAATTACCAAATGAAAAAACCCAATAACACATATCCTATTTATACACAAAATATTTGCGTTTTTTTATTAAAAAAAAAATCGTTTTTTTAAGGATTATTCTTTAACAAAATAGTATTGTTTTTTATGCAGCATTAATATGATTAACAATTACCCATGTAAAATGTAATAGGATAATGTCTACAAAAAAAAATAATGGGATAGCAAATAAGCTGTCTGCCACCAACAATTGTTCAAATGTTTTCCCACCCTTTAAAATTCAAATTCAAAATAAAAAATAAAAAATAAAAATTCAAATTAAAAATTAAAAAATAAAAATTCAAATTAAAAATTGAAAATCAAGATTTCAGAAAGCAATGAGATATTATTAATTTAAAAATTCCAATGCAGAAAGTAAAAGGACATTAAATGAGTTGTTTGTCTCCAACAATTGTTAACATATTTTCTCAATTGAATTTAATTACAAATTCAATTTTATTTAACATTTTCCTTTATAACATTAGATTATAGCATCATCCTTGCGCTGATTCAAATCTCTGGGTGATTATTCACCCACTGTCGTCAACGGTTCAATCATGGATTATTATTATTATTTTGTCCTATCTCACGATTGATGTATTATTTTATTTCTCATAATAATAATCAACTGTTTGTCAGGCACAGGGTCACACATTGATTATGGACATTTATAAATCCAGCTATATAAAGGCCAAAACATTAGGCTCCCGGTGTCATACCAGCCACCTTATCCTTCTTTGCACCATTTTTCCAGTTTCATATTTCACCCTGCTGCAATGAGCGCTATGATTACAACACAAGGGAAAGCTGTCCCAGATGCCTGTGACTATAAGGGCTGTCCAGCAGAGAGGTCCAAAACCGGTGGTTGGGCTGCAGCTGCTATGATTTTAGGTCTCAGAAACTGGCATCTCTCTTCTGCTACCGTTTCTTAATTTTATACTGAATAATTAACACACTTGGTTGTTAATTTCCTTTTGTTATTTAGGAGGAGAAGTGATGGAAAGGTTGACAACACTGGGCATTGCCGTGAATTTGGTGACATATTTGACGGGGACGATGCATTTGGGCAATGCTGCTTCTGCCAACGTAGTCACCAACTTCTTGGGAACCTCCTTCATGCTCTGTTTGCTCGGTGGTTTCCTAGCCGATACTTTTCTCGGAAGGTTCGAACTTTATTATTATTATTATTCAATTAACAGTTGTTGATGTTTGCCTCGTTACAAGTGATTGTTTTATTGAATTTATCGATTCCTTCTTTTTGTCAGATACCTCACAATCGCAGTATTTGCCGCCGTTCAAGCAACTGTAAGAATTGCATTGAAATCTGCTCTGCTTTTTCCACCACGAGAGCTAGCGTCTCAATTATTTATTTTTAATTTAATAATCTCTTGTTGGATCTGAATTAAGTTTAATTGTTTCTTTGATGTTGTGTAATAAATATAAATATATATTTATATTAGGGTGTTACAATATTGACGATATCAACCATAGTTCGGAGCCTACGTCCTCCAAAATGCACGGGAGACACTGTTTGCGTAAGAGCAAACGACATGCAGCTAACGGTTCTGTATTTAGCGCTTTATATGACGGCCCTTGGCACTGGTGGTGTGAAATCCAGTGTCTCTGGGTTTGGGTCGGATCAGTTTGATGATTCGGATAAAGAAGAGAAGAAACATATGATTAAATTCTTCAACTGGTTTTACTTCTTTGTAAGCATAGGATCTCTGGCCGCGGTGACCGTTCTTGTGTATATACAAGATAATAAGGGCAGAGACTGGGGTTATGGTATCTGTGCCTGTTGTATTGTCGTCGCACTTCTTGTGTTCTTGTCGGGTACGAGGAAGTACCGATTCAAGAAACTGGTGGGTAGCCCATTGACTCAGATTGCGGTGGTGTTTGTGTCTGCTTGGAGGAAGAGGCACTTGGAATTGCCCTCTGATTCTTCATTGCTGTTTAACGAGGACGACATCATGTACGAAGCACACATGACCAAGAAGCAGTGGTTGCCGCATAGCAAGCAATTCCGGTAAAGTTTCTAATTCTCATATTTTTCTTTCTTTCTTATGCCTTTCTTTTTTCTTTTGTAGATTATTTCTTATGCTTTTTTATAGATACATATTCGATATTCCTAAATGATGGTCTTTATTATTATTATTTTTTTATGGAGAGAGTAATTAATGATACAAATGCTATTCTCCAATTTTACAAATATATATGCCCATATTTTAAATTTTATTTACCTACTCAACTTTAATGCACGAATTGTATATGGGTTGTGGAGGTGGATCTTTAGTATTAAAATTTTACATGATCTAATTATATAAAATTTTTATAGTTATCTCTCTTTTTATATGCATTAAATTGGTGAGGTTCAATTATTATTAATGAGAAAAGTGATAAACATAAAAATTTCTCTGAAATTTTAACACAAGAAGATGAATTCTTTTACTTGGAGTTGAATTCAGAAAGTGCAGCCTGATACTCTTTTAATTAAATATAGATTCATCCACGAATGAGGCACTTGCATGTTTCATCTAAGTTTTAGTATAGCACAATCTAAAAGTTTCTCTTTTGATTTCAAAATTAATGGAAATCGTTTATGTAATATTTTGTTTAAATTCTCAATTGTCATTCCCTGTGAAAAATAATGTTTGCTTAGAAATTTTTTATTTATTTTTTGGTCTACATAACAAGCAAAAGTTTTCTCACTCCTGCTGTTAATAAAGGGAAAATTTATATATTTAGTAATACTTTTATTATTTCCTTCAACCTTGAAGAGATTATTTGGTTTTCTAGAAAGCTTTTACTGGTTATGGAAACCCATTGTAAGGCTGTTTCCAGATTTGGAAATTTTTCCATTTATATTAAATTATTAATAAAGCTAGTTAACGTTAAAAAGAAATTGCGCGTACATATAACTAAGTGGGTTCTAGCATACCTTAGACATTTGAATACAGCATTTAAGTAGTTACTTTTATTTGGTAGAAGCATTAGTGATTGGGCCATGATCAATTAACTGCGTGACCTAGAGATAGAGGTGGGGGACTAGTAGAGATTTTAGTAGCATCAAGAGTGGTAGAGTGATGAACCCCCAGCAGTGAAACTTTTCTATGAAGGTGGGCTTCCATGTTCAATATTAATCATATATAGGAGTTCAACATCTTATTAAGCAAGCAGAGGCCAAAATGGTAACAAACTATACTGAGCATTATTGTGCGCCATTATTGGCCATGAAATGGACAAAAAGTTATTTTGGCTTCATTCGCTCTGTGGTACGGTGAGAAGTCCACGAGCTTAGAGCAGATAACAAATGTATGGTTTAGTATATTTGGCATACTTGCTTTTGAAATTTGGATACTAAAAAATCAATAGCCACAATATTAACTTTTATATGTCTGCCTTTGCGACTTGCTAAATTTCTTCATCTGTCTCTTCTTTCGAATTTGCTTCTACATATAGAGACTTGAGTGACTCAGCAACGACAAGACTATCTCTATAAACTGATATTAACGCGTCATTTGTCACGGACATGGCTACAGGCTATGTGTACGCTACATGCTAAACAATTAATATTGTCTGTTATGTGAATGTGGTATCTTGTATTGCACGTATATCACTGTCGGCTACTAATAGTAAACTCACATTTTAATTAAGAAAGCTTCTGTAGATGTTATGCCCGAAACAAGCTTCCAGCCAAAATTATTTATAGAGTAAAGTATTTTGGGTCTCAATAGAAACTATGCGATCCATTTTAATTTTTTAGAAAAAGAAGTCAATTTGTAATCATTCTGAAATTCAAAATACTCAATAATCAAAATCGTGATTTCTCTGGAATTCAAAAAAGACGTTAGTCCCTCAAAAAAACTAATACGAGTTTATTTTGAATTTCAAATATATCACAAGTCAACTTTTTTTTCTCTTTATTTATATCTCTAATAGAAAACAGCTTCACAGGGTACACATATCATGTCGATAGCTACCAAAATATTACTAACGTTATTTAATTTGCTTCTAGCTTGCATATATTGCTTCTCACTTTATCTCCTTCTCTTTTTGGTGTTAGCTCAAAGATTAACTAATGGATATATTTTGTTGATGGAGCAGGTTCTTGGACAAAGCTGCAATCAAGGACTCAGAAACTGCTGGTGGAATCACGGTGAAGAGCAAGTGGTATATTTCTACCTTAACAGACGTCGAAGAAGTAAAATTGGTACTAAGGATGCTACCCATATGGGCCACCACGATCATGTTTTGGACGATCCATGCACAAATGACCACATTCTCAGTATCACAGGCGACCACCATGGACTGCCACATGGGGAAATCATTTCAAATCCCGGCGGCATCAATGACGGTCTTTTTCATCGGAACAATTCTCATAACCGTGCCCTTTTACGACCGCTTCATTGTTCCAGTTGCAAAAAGAGTGCTTAAGAACCCACAGGGGCTCAGCCCTTTGCAACGCGTTGGAGTTGGTTTAGTCATGTCAGTCTTGTCCATGGTGACAGCAGCACTCGTAGAAATAAAGCGCCTTAGATTTGCACAATCACATGGTTTGGTAGATAATCCAACGGCAAAGATCCCAATGACTGTGTTCTGGTTGATCCCACAATTCTTCTTTGTGGGTGTTGGGGAGGCCTTTATGTATATGGGGCAGCTAGACTTTTTCCTTAGAGAATGTCCAAAAGGAATGAAAACCATGAGCACGGGGCTGTTCTTGAGCACACTGTCCATAGGGTGTTTCTTTAGTTCCTTGTTAGTGACTTTAGTGAACAAAATGACAGCTCATGGAAAGCCATGGCTTGCAGATAATCTTAACCAAGGGAGGCTCTATGACTTTTACTGGCTTTTGGCTATTTTGAGTGCTATAAATGTGGTGTTATACTTGGTTTGTGCGAAGTGGTACGTCTACAAGGAGAAGAGGCTTGCTGAGGAGGGCATAGAATTGGAAGAAACTGACGCTGCTACTTTCCATGCATAGAAATTTTACGATAGCAACCTTTTCTCCCATTTCATATATATTTTCCATTGTGAGAAAATGTAGCGTTTGGTTACCATAATTAGGCTTGTAAGCTGCCACAATTTTCTCTCTGCTTATACATAATGTGGAAAAGATAACAAATGAAATAAATTGTTTGTTCTGTAATCACGAGGTGTCGTTTATTTCGGTCGTTTCATCAATCTGATCCATGTCTTGATTATACGCGCATGTTTATTTTGGACTTGACAATTAAGCCCCACACTAGGCCACTAACATTTGGTATGTGAGAAACATTATATACAAACCGAGTGACAGCGGGCGAAAACAAGCCTGTAGTTTCCCTAGTTATCACTTCAGTCTTTGGGATTTTGGCCCGACATATTGTACCCAAAAGAAATTGACTTTTTTATTCAACTATTTATTTCTTTCCCTCTACTTACTTGCTTAGTTTTTGAAAAAAATAAAAAATTTAGCCAGTTCAAAATAAATCAATCTGATTAAGATCAGGTTGGTTCGATTAAGTAACTTTTGTGCACCAAGTTACTGGGTCGAGGACGGTTAGGCCCAACAGGGTTAAGAAACAGCCCAATTATTTGAAGGATTATTTCCAACAAGTAATTTGGGCCCATATGATTAATAGAGGTTGTGTAATTAGAAAAGGAAGGGAAAATAGAAAAGATTGTAACAGAATTGGTTATAGCCCAAAGAGGGGCGTAAAGAATACACAGAAAATTGTTGGACAATCTATCTCTCTCTCTTTCTCTCTCCTCATTTTTCTTCTTCTCTCTTATTCACGCCTATCACCTTCGTTCTCAGATCTAGGTCTCTATAATCTGGTGCTTTCATTCCCTCTTCCTCCCGGTTATGGCAGACAACACACGCATGCGTGATATGCAGCAGCGACTGGAAGCACTGGAACAACAGTTCCATGCAGCAGAATTGATCTGTGAACAACAACACATGGATTTGCAAGAATCGCAATTGATCTGTGAACAACAACACATGGATTTGCAAGAATCGCAAACCCAGCTGCATGAATCTCAGCAGCAAATACAAGAATCTCAAAATCGGTTTCATCAGGATTTAAATCGCCTTATTGAACTTCAGCAAAACAATAGAGGCATATTGGGTACTGGTCCAAATACAAACCACAACACTGGTGGCAAAAATACACGATCGAGACAAGTCAAATTGGATTTTCCACGATTCTCTTCTGGAGATCCCACCACATGGATAACAGCTGTGGAGAGGTATTTTGCCTTCTACCTAGTTCCCATTCCTGACCGTTTAAATTTGGCTGCATTTCACTTAGATGAGCCTGCGACAAGCTGGTTTTATGGCGCAGATCAAAATGGCTTAATGCCGGATTGGCGTACTTTTTGCACAGCTTTGCTTCGTCGCTTTGGTCCCTCTGAATTTGAAGATCCCGCTGGCACTTTGGAGAAAATCCAACAAACCGGATCTGTTCTTGACTACCAATCATCTTTTGAAAAATTGGTAAGTAAGGTTCCAAGTTTATCTGCTACCTTACTACGTAGCATTTTTATTTCTGGTCTCAAACCACACATTTGGCGTTCTGTTCTTACCCTCAGACCAATAGACTATCATGAAGCATTTTCCTTAGCTAGGGTATTTGAAGATCAATCGAATAAGCACCGACCAACACGCTCTTGGACAACTGCATCTAAAACACCTAACCCTCCACTGCTTTCCAATACCACCACTACTAATCCCATTCCAGCCATACCCATACGTCGTCTATCTCAAGTAGAGATGCAACAAAAAAGAGAGAAAAATCTCTGCTACAATTGTGATGAAATTTTTTCTTTCGGTCACAAATGTAAAGGGAGACCTGCATTATTATATTTAGAAGGAGAAGAGGAAGATCCAGATCCTGGACCTATGAACGAGACAGATGAGAATCAGACAAATGAAGTCACACCTGAAATCAGGTTTAATGCACTGTTTGGTCATCAGAGTTCAAGATCATTTCGTCTTACAGGAGCAATCAGAGGCAAAAATGTCCAAATCCTAGTGGATGGGGGAAGTACCCACAATTTTATCACTAGTCGTATGGCTTTGTTTCTTAGTTTAACCATGCATCATATTAACCCCTTTCAAGTGCAGGTGGGAAACAGTGATACACTACATTGTACTGCCTCGTGTATTGGAGTTCCGTTGAATTTACAAGCACAGATGTTCACGGTGGATCTGTTTGTTTTAGATCTCAAGGGGGATGATCTAGTTTTGCGTATTCAATGGTTGGAAACGTTGGGCCCTATCCTAACAGACTATGCACAAATGAGTATGTCCTTTTCTCATAATAATTCCACTACCATCCTTCAAGGTGACCGAACCATCACCCCTACTCAAATTTCGCAGGCCCAATTCCACAAGCTCATAGCCCAAGACTCGGTATCCTCTTATTTCATTTGCCTTACCAGTACCGGTCATGACCCTACACCACATCAACGACAATTGCTACTGCCACCAACGGTTCATCAGATGTTAACCCAATTTCATGACCTTTTTGATATTCCCCAGTCCTTACCCCCTGATCACAATACTAACCACCATATCAATTTGTTTCCCAACTCAAAACCAGTCCAGGTCCGTCCCTACAGATACCATTACTTCCAAAAAATGGAAATTAAGCGTATGGTATCAGAAATGTTGACCACTGGGGTGATTCGCCCTAGCCAATCTCCGTTTAGTTCCCCAGTCCTCTTGGTAAGAAAAAAAGATGGAACATGGAGGTTTTGTGTGGATTATCGAGTGCTTAATGGAATAACAGTGCCAGACAAATTCCCCATTCCTATTGTGGATGAGTTATTAGACAAATTACATGGAGCCCAGATTTTTTCTAAGTTAGATCTTCGATCTGGTTATCATCAGATCAGAATGAATCCTGACGATGTCCATAAAATCACATTCAGAACCCATAGTGGCCACTTTGAATTTCTGGTAATGCCTTTTGGCCTGTCCAATGCCCCATCAACGTTTCAGGCAACTATGAACCATGTATTTAGCAAGTACTTGAGAAGATTTGTGGCTATCTTCTTTGTCGACATTCTGGTGTATAGTCCGTCTCTCCAAGCTCACGTAGATCACTTGAGACAGGTATTGCTTACACTTCGTCACCATCAGTTCTTTATTAAGCAATCCAAATGCTCTTTTGCAGTGAAGGAGATTCAGTTTCTGGGGCATATTATATCAGCTTCTGGGGTATCTCCTGATCCATCCAAGGTCATGGCTATTCGTGAATGGCCCATACCCCAATATGTCACTCAATTAAGGGCCTTTTTGGGCTTATTTGGATACTATCGACGGTTCATAAAAGGGTACGCCTCTGTTGCAGCACCACTTACTGATTTGTTATCTAAAGATGCATTCGAAGGGACATCACATATAGAACAAGGCTTCAATACTCTCAAGGATCTTCTCACCAATGCTCCAATTTTGGCTCTGCCAAATTTCATAATCCCGTTCACTTTAGAGACGGACGCGTCAGGAGTGGGCATTGGAGCAATGTTACTGCAGTTGGATCATCCCATTGCAATTTTTAGCCGTAAATTGTCTAAACTGATGCAAGCAAAGTCTATACACTACCGGGAAATGTATGCCATAACTACTGCAGTAGCAAAGTGGCGACAGTATCTGTTGGGTTCACCCTTTGTTATTCGAACAGACCACCGCAGTCTACATCACTTGATGTCACAAGTGATCCAAACTCTAGAACAACAACAATTTCTTGCAAAATTGTTGGGGTTCAATTATTCCATACAGTACAAGCCAGGCAAATTAAACACTGCAGAGGATGCTCTATCCCACCAACCGGAGTTGTTGCCCACTACCGGCAACGATCCTACACTTATGGCACTCAGCATTCCTACATCTACATACAGTTCAACCATACAGTCCGAGATACAAAAGGATGCCTATGCTAATAAAATCTTACAAGAACTACAGACAAATCCTACTAAGTGGCCTCATTGGTCGTCTAGGAATGGTTTGTTGTTCCATCGACACCGTATTTTTGTCCCTTCGGGCCCTGTGTTGTTTCCTCTCTTGCTCTATCAATTCCATTCTTCCAAGGTAGGTGGCCATGCTGGAATCCGTCGAACACTCATTCGGATTAGTGCCTCTTTCACCTGGAAAAAAAAAAAAAAAAGACATTAAGGAGTACATACAGCAGTGTGAAGTATGTCAGAAGGCTAAATCTCAGAACCATTCACCTTATGGTCTTTTGCAACCTCTCGCAATACCAGACTCCATATGGTCAGATTTGTCAATGGACTTTATAACCTATTTGCCAAATTCAGGGGGATTCACTGATATTCTTGTAGTAGTGGAAAAACTTACCAAAGGAGCTCATTTCATGGCCTTACCACCAAAGCATTCCGCAACAAAGGTAGCTCAAGTATTTTGAGACACGGTAGGCAAGCTACACGGACCCCCACGATCCATAGTTTCATATTGTGACCCCATATTCACCAGTGAATTCTGGAAGACCCTTTTCAAGCTATAGGGGACTGCGCTTCACTTTTCCTCTGCTTACCACCCTAAATCTGACGGTCAGACAGAGAGAGTAAACCAGAGTCTCGAACAATACCTCCGTTGCTTCGTGCATAACAACCAGTTAACATGGCATCGTTTCCTCAGTTGGGCAGAGTTCCACTATAACACTGCATATAATCGTTCCACGCAAACCACCCCATTTCAGGCCACGTATGGACGTTCTCTACCTTGTCTTTTAGCTTACACCCTGGGACCCACATCCCTTGAAGCGGTGGACACAGGTCTCCATCAACGCACGATGGCCCTAGCATCATTGAAACAGAATTTAAAAAAAGCACAAGCTTTAATGAAGGCACAAGCGGACCGCAAACGTAAAGACCATACCTTTCAAACCGGAGACCAAGTACTCTTGCGACTTCAACCATATCGTCAGTTCACTGTACACCGACGATCGTCACACAAGCTGAGTCTACAGTTTTATGGTCCTCTTGAAGTTCTAGAACGGATCGAAAAGGTAGCGTATCGTCTGAAACTACCTGAAGGTTCAAGAGTCCACCCGATCTTCCATGTATCGCTCTTGAGGCCTTTCCACCACAAGATCCATCTTGTAACCGCGGACCCCCGAAGCACTCCACCGATGCATGTTCCAGCAACTGTTGTAGCTCAACGCGTTATATGGAGACAGGGTCGTGAGATACCCCAAGTACTCATACAATGGCAAGGACTGCCATCGAAGGAGTCTACTTGGGAAGACGAAAAGTTGGTGTTTGGGAAAGGAGTTTCAAAGATTCAACCTTTACCGTTTCCTTTTGACGGCAAGAGTAAGGAGGTTGCAGAAGAAACAACGGCTAAAGGAAATGTATTGGGACATCCAACTGAGATGGGTTTCGAGGACAGCATTAATTTAGCCTCAGTTCCAGCCAATCAAAGCGAGGCAGCTGAAGGTCCACGTGCCTCTCCCATCAGTCAAGAGTCATTAGCCACCAGCTGGCTCCCACCCACGTAAGCAGTCCAGAATCTTCCCACCGACAGTTTATATGGGCCACAAGACGCAGCTATTGTGCCAAGACATCTCGAGGACAAGATTATTTTCGAAGGGGGCAAGGATGTTGTGCACCAAGTTACTGGGTCGAGGACGGTTAGGCCCAATAAAGTTAAGAAACAGCCCTGTTATTTGAAGGATTATTTCCAATAAGTAATTTGGGCCCATATGATTAATAGAGGTTGTGTAATTAGAAAAGAAAGGGAAAATAGAAAAGATTGTAACAAAATTGGTTATTGCCCAAAGAGGGGCGTAAAGAATACACAGAAAATTGTTGGACAATCTCTCTATTTCTCTCTCCTCATTTTTCTTCTTCTCTCTGATTCATGCTTATCACCTTCGTTCTCAGATCTCTACAATAACCTCTCAAGTGACCTCATATTATATCACATAAGAGGATCACTCCCAAAGAAAACTACTGTCATACGAAATAAAGTCTGGGTAAACATATCACATCTTTTGTAATTTATTTCTACGAAAATAGTGCTGAGTCAATAGCTATATGACAGGATCATGGGAGAAATCCTTATATCAGCTAATACCCCAAATAATTACATTCAAACAAAAATATATAAAAATAAAAAGGCAAAATTATGACAATGTAACATACAGAAGTTGCCCTGATCTAACATCTGTTCCTAAGCCGGATTCTTTTCTCATATATGCACATCAAGTAAAAATCTCATTTCAGATTATTAGTGGACCGCAACTCTCTTCCGAGCAATATGCGTGCTTGGTCCCTAAGGTCAAGAAAATTACAACTGTACCAGCCATTGGCGATATAAGTCATTTAAATTCACAAAGCAACGTCAAGGGCAATACAATAGCTGGAAGTTACTTTTGCTACCTCTTCCCCGGTTTTGATTGTTTTTATATCACCAACACAAGGGCAATACACAAAGCCTGTCCAACCATAACCGCAAAGGATCCTGATTTCAGAGGTTCGCAAAACGTACTCTCCCATTCTGTCAAAACAATCGACAAGCAAGAATAAAGATATACCCGCCGCGGGCCTATTAGCTTTGGTGATCATGATCTGCAACAGTTGAGTATGTCATTTTTATATGATTGTTATCACTGATGAACTTACAGCTAAAGACGAGGTCTCTCACAGACATATAATGCAAGCATGAAAAAAACAGTTAAGAGTTTTTTAACGGAAAACCGTATGTAATACAAGATTAGACAGTACCTTAAGGATCGACAATATCTTCATTAAATTCACCAAATATGTTCGGGCACCCGTCCCATCTTCCAAGCTCTCTCGCTTCCCAATAGCCACCAACGTATCTAAATGTCTCATTTTCACCTTCTCTTTCGAACCACCTAGGCTTCCAACCATTTTCTTGTATTTTCCTTGACTGTAGACATGATGATCATCAATATAAAGGAGGGGGAAAAAAAGAAGCAAAAGAACAATGATTATCATCAATATTCGAGCATAAGACAATTAGCAGAATACTAACTGCAGGACAAAAAGCCGTGTACCAATTTACAGTAGAGACTAAAAGAACAAAAACGTTAACTCTGAATTGAATCATAGATCAAACAGTACATGACATTTATGCATACTTCAAAACACAGATCAAACAAACTGGACTGAAAAAATGAATAACTGGAACTTAGAAGGGCTTTGGAAGATACACAAATTAATGAACAAGAAAGAAAGACAACAAAAATAGAAGGCAATTAGCCTTCTATCATTATGGGTATGCAAAGTAATCGTCAAATAAGTACCTTCAAAGTTGAAATCGTTGAGAACCAAAGCTCAAGTCTAAACTCACCAGTACCCAAACACTCCAAATATAAGGGAAGGGAGAAGAAAAGAGAGAATGTGTGGTCATTGCACTAAAGATGAAAGAGCTCTCAGACATACCATTCTTTGCCGTTTTTCCAACCTTTGTTTCTCCGAATTAGCCTTCTCGTATTCCCCGTTCTCTAGATGCCGCTGATCTGGTCTGAGCCTAGAATCCGTGGGTGGGAGCTTCTCCTTTAATCCGTGATAAAATACCCAGGATCAGAAAATGCTATAAAAAATAATTAGAGACGCATATATAAGAAAGTGGAAATGCATATCAAATAATGATTTAATACATCATCATTTACCTCCAGTCCTGGAGTAAGCTCATTCAGAGTGATAGCATACGGTGTCAAATTGTACCGGGTGAGATTAAAGGGTGGCATAGTCCTTTTCCACAACAACGATGCGTTTGATGAAATGAAATCTTTTGGCTTGACATTCACATCACCACTAATATAATACATGCTGTCATCCCACTTGCCAAATAATGTGGCAACTTTTTTTCCCATCACATCTTCAACAAATCCATGCACCTAATCGAACACAGGATACATATTGATTGAGATGTTAAACAAAAATGTTTTGGGAGATAGTGTTACTCTGAAATTTGGAGTGGGGGCACACGTGGAAATTGATAATGCTGGTAAACCAACCTAAATTTAAGGAGTAATGAAAATAAAATAGATATAATAGAACAGGCTGTAAAGGATAAAGGTGTGGTTACTAACAACCAGTAACTTTTACCTGGTGAGGATTTCGGTCAAGAATCGTCTGCTCTTTGAACTTCAGTCTGCAAGAATATTTACGATTACCACGTATATCCATGTTCCCATGATGATCACAGTATATTTTCCCAATGATAAGATTATAAATTGTTGAGGTGACCTAGTGGGAGACATAACAACAACAATCATAAATTCATAACAATAATTCAGAGAGAATATATATGATTAGTTTGGAAGGCAAATGAAGAGTACAACCGGGAGGAATATAATATATTTCCCGTGTAATAAGAGCGACTTTGCAAACGCACACCTTGCTCCACTGAAATATTTCACCATCATCGAACTCTAGGGTCAGAACTCCAACTGGGTCAAGCTGAATTGACCTTCCCCAAAACTTTGAACGGATGTTGCTGTCAGCCCAAAACTTCCATCCTCTACCTTCACAGTGGCAGGCAATGAGAGTTGGATGGTGACTGACCTGTTTCACACATGATTAATGTCAGCCAACATGAAAATATATTGGCAGGTGGATCAATTGCAGATATTCAGATTAAGTAGGCAAAAATACACAATGAATCAATACCATTTAGATGTAATTTGGCCAAACATTATTATGTATGAACTACTGGAAAAGTGTATACATGCATGGTTCGGGAACTTCCTAACTTACTACATAATAAATCTTAAAATTTACTTTAGAACAAATGTCAGCAACACGCAGAGAAAGGAGGAAAAAGACCATGTACAAATGCAACTTCCTTGTCATTGTTAAGACCACCAAAATTGAGATTATGTTGTATCTCTGCTTCATTAAATCATAAGGAACTAACCTTCTCAGAAAAGAAGCGAATTCCTTTCTCAGGATAATCAGCTTCATAGGTTTCTCCTAACAAAGGATTAAAGGGCTTGCAATGACGACCTTCAGATGATGCATATCCAGAAACTGCAAAGGCGGCGACACTCAGTGCCCGAAGGAGACTGTTTCCCTGAAAAAGAAATTCAAAGGGAAAAACTATCACATAGTAGCACGAATTGATGTCAACTATATTATCATTATGTTTTTCTTACCACTAAAACATGTTAAGGGTGAGTTTGGTTGAGTACATGGAAAGTGAGAAGCTGGAAAACAGAGAACAGGTTGAAAATTCAACCAAGAGTGAAAATGAAATACATTTCATTTTCCACTTTCTCATGCTTCTGTTGCAACAAGCATGTTTAAAATGATTTTCTTTTCAAATGATCTACCTTCCCACTTCCTCCATGCTCATCTCTAAGGGAAAGATGAAAGTTTACTAAATGTTGCCAAATCATGAGTCCAGAGTCGAGTCATATTAATTGAGCTTAGAAAGGACATGCACCACATGGCTATGAGGCAACTGATAAAAAAACTCGTCTGTGATCAAACAAATTTGTAGAAATTATTACGATATGGTTAATATCAATCTCTAGAAATTATGATTTCCCCCCCTCTCCTCTAAGTGAGGTAAAGTGAAATTAATGAGTCAAACAAACAACATAAAACAAAGAAGCTAAAAGAGTGCAGCAAGGTTACTCAATCACTCTGCATATCAGAGATGGAAACGCCCGCAAAACAGACATGGGTAGAGTTCCAAAGAGAAGTCATAAAAACAATCATGTCCCACAAGGCCACAACAGATTTAGGGGCAAAGGAGTGGCTTTGAAAATGTGGGCATTCCACTCCAGTACTAGTTTTAAATTTGTATTGCTTGCACTTCAAGACAAGTGAGTGGCACAACCAAGAGCAAGATGTATATCTTACTGATTTTCCGTACTCATAAGCTTGATCCAGAAGATAAGAGTATTCCAAGTCCTCACAACATTTTTGAAGAGATGATATCGGCTCATTAAAATATACAGGAAGACAAACTCGCGTGAGATCTTTTCCCACGTTGTCTTTTATCATTGACCAAAGACTTACACCCTTCTCTTTCTCAACAGGATCTGGAAGCTTTCTTCGTCTAGCAATCGGAGGATGTCTAAAATTAGAGACCACTTTCTCAGGCTGAATGTTCTCCATATCAGTGCATTGTGTGTTGGCTTCCCTAAAATTGTCCACTTGATCCATAGCTCCTGTTGACCCACACTTGCAACCAGGCTGTGTGAAACACTCTCTAGTATCATAATATGAGATTTCATCTTCATCTGACACTTCCTCCATCTCCTGTTTCTCAATATCATCGGATGATTCAGTTGTGCTGCATTCTGAAACCCAAAAGTATATGTGAAAATAATAATAAACCATGAAAGGATGAGATCATAAATAATAGAGGCTGCAAACAGATTGATCGTAATCAAATTTATACCCAAAGACATTTTCACATTTATCAGACAAAATATCATTTCACACTTAGGGTGTGTTTGGTACAGGAGAAATTTTTTGGTGACCGGGAATCATGATTAATGGGAATTCAGTAGAAATTGAGTTTACTTGGAATCTTACGAAAGATGTGTTTGGTTCGCCAAAATATTACCGGGAATATTGGGTAAAAATTATTGATTCCATATTTGGTTTAGAACGAAATATGACTTGGAATATGAGGTTATTTTACAAAAATAACCCCAAACTATTTTTACTTTTGTAATTGATAGATTGGGTCTAGATTTTTATGTGTATTGGGGTATTTTTGTCTCAAAATTTATTGTTGTGTTTTCCCTTTACTTGGTATTCTGATTGGTATTCCGAATTACCATATTATTTTTGGTAATCTGAATAGTGACTTTTCTTTATAAATCAAATTACCGGTAATCCTTGGATATCCGGGAATCGTAATTTATTCCTTCTACCAAACGTGGTAATTACATTTACCAAAGAAGGATTACCGGTAATCATCTCCAAAAACTTGAACCAAACACCCCCTTAAAGACAGCATTGGTGCATATGATCATTCCAGTAGCCAGAGAAGAATGATAAATGAACTCGGCATGTTTATTGTTGAAATATATAAGCCATTAATGTAGTCTCACCCAACAGCTTAAGCTTTTGAGTTGAATTGATCATTTACATGGTATTGTTGAAATATATAAAACCATTAATGTAGCCTCACCCAACAGCTTAAGCTTTTGAGTTGAATTGGTTCTTTACATGGCATCAGAGCCTCTGTGTACCGCGTTCGATCCTCACCGCCTCCCACTTTCTTTCAAGTGGAATTTCTTTCTTCGCACAGGTAGGTGGGCCTGTGCATTGTCCACCCTTCAAGCTCAGTGGGCTCTCGTGTGAGGGGGCGTGTTAAAATATATAAAACCATTAATGTAGCCTCACCCAACAGCTTAAACTTTTGGGTTAAATTGGTTCTTTACATTTATGAAGCACAGTTTTATTCTGGTTAAATGAGTCAAAATATAAGCAAATCAAGGATTCATGTCCCTCAAGTTCATGCATAAATTGCCTTAACAAATAAATTAAATTCTACCAGAAGCCAACAAGTAGAGGCATATGAACCCAAATCTATCAAAAATATTCAGTAAAATCATACGATGCATAGTCATTCATAGCCCATAAGGTAGACTTTAGAAATAGTACAGTCAGGTGAACTTAATAGACAAAAAGATAAAAAAAAATAAAAAGATAAATTCTATAGAGGTCACCCAGCATGAAGATGCTTGTAAAAATTCATGCGAAGTTGAATTCAAAATCTAAAGCTTAGAAAAAATAAAAGTAAACAGGTCCATGTTCTAATGGCATTAAGCCAAATACACTCCATTATTCAAGAAATGTTTGTAAAAACAATATGATGTCAGCAATATTCCTCCAGTTCACATAAGACAGAACCATAGGCCCCTATGAAAACTTTCAACACAACAAAGATTCCGTATACAAGCACATGCATATTACATCAAATAAGAAAGACAAAAGTCACACCATTAAATATAAATAAACAGAAAAGCATCAGTAACGTATATGGTGGTACCACTATATTTTCCGCGTCCAAGACTTGAAAACTCGCTCTTTCTTAATTGGTATTCACCATCATGTATTGCAGAGGGCTCTGGTTCAGTATTTGCTGCCTGCTTATGATCAAAAGCAAATTAGTTTGGTAAGTCACATACAGAGAAATAAGAGTTTCCACATTGAGAAATCAAACACATAGAAAACAGCATACTGAAATGATAATTGAGTTGACATATAATCCCATGAATTATAATTACTTTTTTGGTGAGGGAGGAGGGAGAAAACAATTGATGCCATCAACCACAGTCACCATTGACGTGACTCTTTAAAAAGACATTAGGAAAACCCACAAAAGAATGCATGACCACATGAACCAAACATGTCACGTGGTCTAACATAAACAATTTGGCATGGTTATTGATTCTATGATAACAATACCAGTTCAGTTTGAATTATGCCGATACGAGTGGTCAGATAATCTTAAGATCCTACAGCCACATATATCTTAAACATGTATCCATGAGTTCGACAGAAATAAGAAGCACAATAATTATGGAACAATATACACAGGAAATCTAAAACAATCAACTTTATGTACAAACTCTAAATCAGAATAGTGGGCAAGACAAACACACACACACACAAAAAGATACGCATGACAACTAGTCTCATTACATAAAACTTCTAAAAAAATAAAATAAAAATGATAATAAAGTAGACTTAAAAGAAACTTTACGACATTAAGCAAGTATATTCAGCGGATATTTCATCAAGCTGATTCAGTATTCGTCCACCTGAGGTGACCCGGCGATAGAAAAAAATAAAATAAAATAAAAATTAAAACTTTAGAAAGCAATTGACCTGCAATTATTAAATTGTTGCATAATTCGTAATTTAGAAAATCTTATATTTTCTTTCACCAAAATTGAAATAGTAGAGGAGTTGTGCGAATATTAAACTAATATGCCGTAGTGTTCCTAGTTTTAAATGAGCCAAATACGAAGGAAGATGGTCATAATAACTCTAGAGTTAATGCACGAGTTAAGAAATTACCTCCAATTGCCTTATTGTATCAAGCAAATCAGATCGTTCTTGACAAAGAACTTCAAGTTGTCCTTGTATTTCGGAGAACTCTGAGAGCATGATTTGTTCACACTCCTTTACAAGGTTCTCACTGGTACCCTCCTCAAGCAAGCGGGTCTTAAGCCGCTCGGTTGACACGGATATATCATTGGGTGCAAGCGATAGATGATCAGTGAGAGGTTGAAGGGGATACAGGCCACGAGTTGATACCAAAGCTTGTATCCACGCTACCCGATCTTTCCTCGAATTAGTTCTCAGATGGAGAGTCTTCGTTGCTGTAAATATATAGAAACGCCGATCATCTGACTTGCTCTCTCTAAATGACGAAATCTGCTAAACATCCACACGATGTAATTTTTATTTCAATACACCAAAAAGCACCCTCAACTCACTGTAACCAAATTTTCTATTCAATCGGTAGGAACCAAATGTTCTATTCGTTGAAAATGAACACATAAAAGAAACAGGATTCATAAATAATAGTACACTGCAAAATAATAATAACGTAACAAATAGTACCAAAAGGAAAAACAATGACATAAAAAATTGAGATTTGTGTCCATTAAAAAACTGTTAGTGAAAAACGAAGCAGCACAGCAACAAAATTTGTAGGAGAGCCCACCTTGACAGAAAGTTATAAAGAAAAAGGAAATAAGCTTCCCAACAAGACACACGGACACAACAAACAAGAATAAAGTTAACGGCACTCACCACCTCAACCAAAAAACACTAAAATTCAGTAACTGTGAAAGACTGAAAGGCACTCACCAATAATCAGAACAAGAGCAACATAAAGGCCCGCCAGGTTTTGGACCGCCATACCAATATACTATATTATAACATAATGTTATAACTTGAACGACGCTGCTAGACCATAATGATTCAATCAGACCAAACAAAAAAAGAAAGATTAGAATGATTCAAGACATAAGTAATATTGTAAAACTTATTAATTTCCTGTCTCTCACTTTATTTGGTTTCCCCTTTATCTCGGAGAAGTGATTGGCAACTTGGCTCTATATCTTGAACAGTAGTGTAGGACCATATACTATTTTGTCCCTTTACTAAAAAATCATTAAAAAAGAAAATAATAAACCACTCGAATCTTGAAACGAATAATCATCCACCATAATGTTATTAAGTCCCACATACACTTAATTATATTTCGATTTATGAAAATATATAAGGTCCCGAACATGCGTTTTTCTCCTCTCTTTTTTCTTTTAGTAAATATTATGTAAGTATTCAGACAAAACCAAAAACGGAAAAAAGCTTTTCCATTTGATAAGGTTGCTTAAAACTTAAAAGTAACGTCTGAGGCATTCCAATTTACAAAGTGAAACGCACATCAGTCCAAGATCCCTAATTAACAGCAGTTCGATCACCGGAACGTTACTATTTATTTTTTCTGTTCTACAATTTATTATAGTATTTTATTAATCTCATATTAAGAGGAGATAAATTATCTAATATTATCGAAATAAATTTGTGGGCTCCACTGTCTAAAAAAATCTAAAAAAGAAAATCGTGACACTTATCCAAAAATATGTAAGAGAAATTTACAAAAAAAAAAAAAAAAATATATATGTAAGAGAAAAAACTTATATAACATCATAATAATTTTGGGTAATGTTTTCCAACTTTCACATTACACAACTAATTTTTCTACAGACACATAAAAGTGGACCCTTCAATTTTTTTACTTTTCTTTTATTTTAAAAATAGCGGCCCCCGTCTGTATGACATGACCTAAGAATTTTCCTACAATATAAGAGATAGGATATTGTGACAACCAAATAATATTACTACCAATGCTACTACCACATCTTACCAATGCTACTACCACATCTTAACCGTTGATTTCCGTCAATCAACGGTTATCGTTTATCAAATCAAACTCATTAATTAATTCGCAATAAATGATAACCGTTGATTGGCGGAAATCAACGGTTAAGATGTGGTAGTAACATTGGTAGTAACATTATTTGGTTGTCACAATATCTTATCCCACGACATAATATTTGTTTTTTCCAATAATTTTTCCATTCAATATAACTCCTTGAAGTTCAAGTCTTGTTTTGCCGTTATGACAAGCAAAGAAAAGCCAAAAAATATGCCTTCTCTCTCTCTCTCTACAAGATCATGCCCATGGAAGAGCAAAACAATGCAAGACAACAGAAGAGAAATACGTACGGTGGAAAATAGAAATAATAAGAGGAAAAGCTCAAAAAACATTACTAGTAACTACTGGTAACAAGAACGCCTTGAAAGATACCAAGTCTATTATTTTTATAAATAACATGTATCATTCACGGAGGTTCAAGTCAGGAATATCAACATTACAATAGAATTAGCTCTTCTAAAGAAAATTATTTTGTATTCAGTATAACTTGAATCCAATAACTTAAACGAAATTAACTATGTACCATTTAATCAAATTCCCTTTATTAGCAAGTCTATTATGTGAATCATATTTTTGATCTGAAATGGTAAAAGGGCTTAGGTAGGATTGGCAGAAAAATAGGGTGCGAGGAGGAAGGAATATATTTTATTTTTTGGTACATAAGTAATATTAGAAATAGAAGAGCTGAAACGAAGAAATGCATCCACCAAATGACCAATGGCAATGAAAGGAGAAAGGCACGGATGATGTGACCGCAACTTAATGCCTAGGGCTACGACGTAGGCAATCCGTACCCTCTCGACTACCTGTTGATGTGACCCACTCTACACTCACAACCAGTTAAAACTGTCAAACAGAAATTAGAAAAGTTGATTTTTCAAATCGAAATCGAGAATAACGTGCTCTCAATAAACTGCGGATGATTATGTTATTAGTACTGTTAAAATTAATTTTTTCGATAATAAATTTTTTTTAAAAAAAAAATCATATTTGTTAGTTGTGAGCCTCCTTCTCCTTGCAGTTCATCTAAGAACTGCACTGATCCTGGTCCAGCCAGAAGAGAGAGAAAACAAAGTCACAGCGAACAATGGCTGAAACCCGCGGGTTTTCACATTTACTGCTCGGGCATACAAGCCTACTTGTTCCTTTTCACTGCCAGAAGTAGACTCTGTATCAGGTGAATTAGTTTCATGGCCGGAAACAAAAAAACAAATCCATGAATCTTCGCCATGCCTTCGTAATACACTAATCATATCATCAAAGTTAACCAAAAATGAAAAAGTAAAAAAATAAAGCACGATTAACATTTCGCATATTTGAAATCAGAATGTTGCCTAATGCTAACTCACAGTCAGCTAGCGCCCAAAAAAGTAAGTATAACTGAGAAATCAGATCGATCGCCGCCAAAGCCTGCGATGATCCTTTCTTAATTTTCTGAATCGTATAAAAGAAAAACAAAATCAACAGTTATGGAGGTTGGTGTACCTTGAGATGGACTACGCCAGAAGAAGAAGCTTTGCGGTGCTTCCGTCGTATGGTGACGCTGTCCATCCGTGCGAGTCTATTGGTGGAAACATCTCCGATGAGGCGGATGTCGTCGGCCGGTGTGAGGAGGTTGAGATTCTCCGGGCAGCGGATCTTGGCGTAAGAGAGGACGCCATTCCGCAAGAGGAACCATCGGGATCTCCAGCCTTTGCCGAAATTGGTCCACTTGTAGAGAACGCCGGCCACTGTGGCCTCCGATCCCTGACCACCGGCATTGCCGTGAGATCCAACCGCCGGGAGGCTCCTGGTCCTGGAAAACGTTGCCGCCTCCGGCTCCGGTGAATGGTTACCGATTACGGGACTCTCTAGGGAGATACAGCACAGCGGGTGCATCTCTTTCACTCGCATTTTCACTCTTTGTTCCTTTTTATTTTAATGTCTTAATTTTACAAGCCACGAAAAACAAACGCTGTCTAATCTCAATTCTTCATTGATATACAACGATGTACGGTCATTGATTTAGGGTTCTCAAACAAATTAAAGTGAGTTTAGAATAAGATAGGTCGGAAGCTGAGAGAAAGAGTTAAGAGGAAATGGAAGTAGAGGGAGTGATAGTTATGTTATCAACACTGATTTAAGTATAGAGAAAATAGGTGCAAAATAGAAATAGCTAAGAATTTGAGATTCTAAGAAAGACGACATTGGTTTTTGTAAATGAATAAATGTGCTGGGAGAAGGGAGAGCCGGTAGGTATTTATATAGTTAGATCGGGAAAAGGCAACGAAAGGGGCACAATGGTAATAAAATGAAAACAAAAGGGTTTCAAAGTGTAAACAGAGCCTTGTCCTTGGTGTTTAGTTGTGTTTCATTTCAGCTTTTAAAAAAAGGTTTTCAATTTGGTTGGAAGCTGGAGCCTGTGAACTGCAGCTGGCCCCAGTCTAAGATATCTCGAATTCTCGATAAAGAGAAAATGCACTTCTCGCGACTCACTCAGGCTTCCAAATTATCGAAAAAGTATCGCAGACTGAGACTTGGACGTGGATGAAGTTGGACCAGAAATCATGGCGGTTGACGGAAAATATTTTAGTATTATTTGAAACTCCTTTTTACTAAAAAATATATATATATTTATCTTATCCATATTTTCTTTTATAATTTCTTTTAAATTCAAAAAAAAAATCTCCTTTTAACATGAATGTACCTATAGCTGTTGCAGCGAAAATTTTCTTATTATTGACGATGATGAGTTAGAAATTGAAAGAAATTTTTGCAGTACTACAAATCTACCGAGATCACTCGTACATCCTTCATCAAATATTAAAAAAAACAATATATTTACAATATTTTTACCTTCATGCTTTTTTTCTTTTATATGTCTTTTTTTTTTTCATTCATGATAAAGGAGTAAATGCTACCATTGCACCAAAAATTTACTCGAAATTGAGGTGCCTTATAAATGCTATTTACTACCTTACCTTTCGCTTTACACCTTCCCACGTTTTCTTTTCTTTTCTTTTTTTTTCTGGTTACCATTTGTTATGTTATATAATAAAAAATAGAAAACTGCATCAAGGTACCTTATAGTCATTAAGCATGTCAAAAATTAGGTTAGGCGAGGTTTAGGTACAATAATTTGAGTAGATTATAGGTTTAATTTAATTTATATTAAAAAAAATAAAAGGTCAGATATGATATATTAATCTATATAAGGAATTAAAAAAAATTATTTTTTGAAAATTACAATATTATATCTATAAATAATAACTAAGTTTCATCTCATCACCACAAAGTATGTTAATCAACGGATAGGAAATTATTCCAACTTAATCAATAATATTGAGTTCGAATTCAATGCAACTGTAAGTTTTTTCCTTAGTTATCCAAAAAAAAAAAGACAGTGACATAAACCAAAGCTATGAAGAGTCAATGTATTGGTATGAACTGAGTTGTGAATAAATGGGAAGATAAAAAAAAGGGTACGATTATGACTGATGATGTGAGAATTCAATAGAAAGTAAAGCAATGGAGAATAAGATTAGTAATCTATAGGTGTGATGATCCCATATTTATAGAGTAAGGGATATTTCCTTTCACGAGTGAAATATGATGTTATAATCGTTTTTAATCACATGAGTCTCGTAATGGTGTTAGGTTTTGTGACTCCAAACGTGGAGAATTTTTTTCTATGCTTCTGTTGTACCAAGTTGGGTACAACATTCTCCCAAATTGAAAATTTTTAATACCACTTGAATCCAAATCTTTTCTCATAATTCCTTTCAAATCCAAATTTTTTCTTTTTTTAGAAATGATGTATGATGCAGCAGTAGCACCCAAGGTTTGCTCCAAACGTGGAAAGGTGACATGTGCATGGGATACCTGTTGGGAGTAGGGGTGAAAGTGGGTTGGGTTGGGCCGAGCTTTGCCCCGAAAAGCCCAAGCCTACGTCAAAAAATTTCAATTTGGCCCCGCCCAAGCCTAGTATGAGTCTAACTGTTAGCCTGGTTTGTCCCGTTTATAAAAAAAAAAATGGCCCGGCTTGGCCCGTTAGCCTGTTAATTTTTAACTTCCAAACAGAACCATGAATCAACTTTACAAAGTACTCAAATTCTGTTGCTACACCAAAAATCATAATTTCAACATCCAAACAGAATCATAAATCATAACAAAACTAATACAATATGCATTTAAGTCATTTTCAAAAGCAAAATGCTCAAACTAAATAACATATATTTCATCAGATCAACAAACAAATCCATATTATGTAAATTAAAATAACTACATAAATCCAACAAACACATCATGATGCTTGTAGTAAGTATAACCTCTCCCAAAAATCTTTTAATATATTCATATACACAATCTAACATGTTGAGATGTTGGTTCCTCCTATATAAGAAATAAAGTAAGATTTCTGTTAAAATATAATCGAATATAATTAAATTATAAATAATTGCAATTGATTAAATTTATATATGTTTTTTCTTCAAGTCAAACTTACTCTATTTTATTTTATTTTATTTAAAATAAATAGTACAATATAGGCCGGCCTGTAGGCTTATAGGCCCGGCCTTTTGAAAGTGGGCCTACGGCCTTTTTATTAAACAGGCTTTTTCAAGGCCAAGTCGGCCTATTATACAAAATATACTAAGTCAGGTCTAACCTGATATAGGTCGAGCCGTAGGCCGGCCCGGCTCAGTTTCACCCCTGGAAGTACATGTGATGAGGGGCTAAGCGCTCTGATATTAAGTGTTCTTGACATTTGTCATTTGAGACAATTGATTAAGATCATCTCGCTGGTTCAAAAAATATATCATATCCTAATCAAAATATATTTATTTATTTATTTGAAAAAATTACATCTTATGCTCATAATATTATTAAACAAATTAAGATTTTACCATTAACAAAACATATATAAATTAAATAAAATTCCAATATTACTTAAAATATTCCTTTTTTATTCAACGGAAAACTTACAACAGAAATGGACCTTGACTTGAGGAAGCCCAAATAAAACTCAGAGAAGCGAGAAAGGGTATGATGAAACTGGGATAAAATATATTATAAGATTTGAAATCCCGTATTCTCATCATTCCGTATTGTCATTATATTTTTTCAATGAGTTTATTCTATGAATTTATCCTATGAAAACCCACAAATTTTATCCTATGAATTTATTCAAATATAATTGTCATTGAAATTATAAGATTAATATTAAAAACTATAAATATATAATGTAATTACATAATTGATTTTTTTTCGGTAAACACATTCTTATATGTTTTCATAATAAATTATGTATTTTTAAATTTAATAAAAAATGCTTTGATGGCTATTTTAAAAAATCAAAATTTGAAAAGTAAAAAATAAAAAATATAGAAATAAAAGAAAAAAAATACTAAAAGCTAAAACAACATTTTTATATAATAAAAATTTTAAAAAAAATGACATGTGATTTTATATTATAAATATATTGAGAGATGAGCCGGGAGAAGGTGTATGTCGTAAGACTCGTAATTATCTTGCTAGTTACTTACATTTGAGATTGGCATTCGATGCTCATCCTTAATTTGCTGCCGTCATATTGTAATACAATAGTGTGAATATATGAGAATCTTTCATCATCTTCTTCTTTTTTTGGTGAAAGGAATCTTTCATCATCTAATTATCTTATATATCTCAAAAAACACAAACGGGAATCTCACGTCAAAAGAAACATGGCATGGGAATCCAAAATGTTATTAAAAAAAAAAAAAAAAACCAGCTTTCTAAGTACATTTTAAAAAGTAAATCCGTACTTGTATATCAAAGAATCCTATTTAAAACTAATCGCCGGCAGAAGACATGCAACGAGGATCTTAGGTAATTTTTAATTATTACATGAAATGTGGAGAATTGAATTATCTTGGATTTAAATATATAGAACAAATTGTACGTAATTCATCAAGATTTAAGCATGTGATTCAAGCACACAAATAGAGTAACGAAGAACAAGAGGAAGGGGCAAAATGGTTGGGCGGGGTCGGAACATGGTGTTTGAGTAAAGTTGATTGATGGGTAGGTACTGTAGTGTGGCTGTGGCTGGTGAGGCGAGACCAGCACGGACAGCAACTTATAACATTTAACAAAATTAGCCAATACATATAGATATGCGTACAGAGTTATGAAAATCACAATTAATGAAAAGGGTGAAGAGGCAAAAATTCAAAATTGAATTAATCGGCTCATTAGGGGTGCGAATGCAAATTGATATGTAAAAAACAAAAAAGATAAAGAAAAATAAATGGCTTCTTTCTACTCCATCAGTATTGCGCTGTTGATTCTTAATTTCTTTCTTTTGTGCCCACATTCACAAGTGGCTCGCTCTCTAGCTTGTTGGAGGTTTATTTTTGGGCCTCAGGGGCGTTTGGTATAGCAGATATTTTTTTTGCCCGAGAGAAAAAGATTTCTGAAAATATAGTGAAAAGTTATTTAGACCGGGAAAGTAACGAAAAGTTGTTGGTATGCCAAAATTTTACTGAAAAAATTTGGTTAATTTTACTGATGATACGTTTGGTTAATTGTAAAATATTGAAGGGAATATTAACCAAAATTACCAATTTACCCATAATTTTTGAAGGTTAATCCCTCTCCAATTGTTCCTTTCGGAAGGTTATCCCTTTCACCTCTCTTCTTGTATTCCGTCCAGATCCACACAGCCAAACGTGCCACCCAGCCCTCTCGTTCCGCCGTCCACACTGTCTGGAAGTATAATATCCTGTTTGCGCTCAAAACTCATCATCTACAAACCTCAACGATAGTCAGTTTTTTCACCTAAAATCGGGAACGAAGCTGTAAGCTGCCATTATCTGAGAACTTCATATTTTTTGTTTTTTTATATTCGTCGGTGGTTGTGATTCTGGAAAACA